ACTCGTATCATAACTATTAGGCCCATGAATTAAGACAGAATCCCCCTAATGGGGAGTAGATGGCAATAACACGTCATCTAACAAGTTTCACAAGATCACAGCAAAGATGAGCCTTTTTTTTAAAGAACGCGTTAAGTCAGACTAGGCAATTATGGTTATCGTCTCTTAACAGATTAAGAGAACAACTCTTAAATACTTTACAACTTATATTTACAACTCTTTACCTTTAAATAATAGAAGGGTATTTTTGGTTCTCGATAGAGATTATTCTGTATGTTTTTTTACAATATTGAATTTAGCAAAAAGTTGAATTTTCCATTACATCACTCCAACTTGAATTATTTATTTTTACAATATCTAGCATTTGTAAAATATCCTAATATAAATAAATATAATGAATGTAATGAATACTTAATTATGTGTCCTAGTGGTTAATAGACTACGAATACAAAACAAATAAAATACTAAAATACTAATTATGACTAAACGTAGGAATTTTGAATTCATTTTCATTGCAAAAGCTAAAATTTTCTTCGTCTACAAAGCACATTAAAATACAAAAAAATGTATAGTTAGGTTTATACACTCTTAAGAAGAAAATTCGACTCGGTTGAAATTAAGGTTTAAACCAGTAGAAGCATGTTTTTCCAAACACCATGTTACCACTAACACTTTAATTTATATGAAGGCTTACATGAAGAATTACACTTTTTTTACGATAAATTCAACACATCGTACGACCATGAAACAGCCCACTAATATTTACCATACATGTTACAAATCGTCGTAATTTGCACAGACAAGTTTACATTTTGGCGACTTAAAAATAATGTATTGGAACGGAAATATTCCTTGACAAGTAAACTAATGTGTTTACAACATAGTGTAATTGATACTGCCGTAGACCTAAACATGCCATTCTGTTGGCGAATCGCCGGCAAACAGCGGGGCAAATTATTACATTGCTGAGTGAATTTGTTTGCGATTTCACTTGTAACTCCTACACTCTTGGCAGCTTTTTCGAAACTGAGATTAAGTTATGGGGTTGAATAATATTGTATTCCGTCATAAGTTTCTAACAACAGTTAAGTCCACTAATCATGTTTTATATATTCCAACGATTTTCATATAATTTCGACTAGGCTATATCGTTTTAGTACTACATGTTCCGTTCGCTACCAGGTGTCAGTACTACACACGCACAGGAATGTGGTACCTATAGTAGTGAATGTGTTAAAAATAACATTACATTGAAAGACGAAAATTAGGTAAGCCGATTTGTTGCTGAATTTCTTGAAATTACCAAACGAGAACATCGGTTGACCAAAACTGTACTAGCATCCGACTATTAACACTTAGGCCTACTGATTTAAATCGTTTTCCGCTCAAAAAAGAACCAATTACTACTCTACAGTCTACATTTTTATAAATAAATCTACAAAAATATTTTAAAATATAAAAAAATTCCGAATAAATTCAAATTTGAGTAAAAACACAACATAAAACTCGTTCTCTATAGCTTAATTTACACCTAGCGGATCACAGACATAAAATAACAGCAGATAACAAGAATAAAACAAAATCTTACCTTAAATGACAAATAAAGAACAATGTTGGCAAATAAAAAAAAAGTAAAAGCAGTTCGCACGAATCAACAACCAAACAACAGAAGACGTTGACGTTGAAGGCAGGCACAAGTACAAGTGAAGTAAGATTGTCACAGAAACCGTTGAAGTCGTTGATTGGTTAACAAGCATGTGGTCATTTGCGAGTTTAAACCAGGTTTAAACTCGGCAACGGACGTTTAGCAGTTTCAAACTCAACCGACAAACGTGTAATGTATACTAGTATATAATCTTAACAACCGTTTTAATATTAACAATTATCTAAGTTTTTTAAACCTGTTTCCTACGGATCCTATGCCAGAATTTACAACATACATGACACAATATAGATTTGTTATTCCTTACACATTCACACACAACGGATACGTTCACAAAATACGTAGCAGTAATTTAAATACGAATCGTGTAAAACAGACGAAAGAATATTACCATAAACTCCCAGAATTGTAGTAAGTGGGTCTGTGTACCAAAGAGAGACGGGTGCGACAACAGGCTCCGGTCTCATGCATATTATCTGCTGCTTATGAATTTGCATCATGTTTATCTCTAGAGCTGTCGTCATAGGCGGTCTTATGGCACGTCAATAGACCTTCACACTCCTTGAATGATAAAGCAGTTGTAAAGTTGGAAATAAGAGTCGTGGGGAAAAGTGTTTGAACATTTCCATTGCGCTGTATCTATATTCGCTAGTTTACAGAAGATTCCTGCATTTCTTTGAACTTTCTAAAAGCTCTGTAAATTTTATAGCGATGTTAAAATTACAGTTAGATAATTATAACAACAAAACAAACAAAAACTACATAGCAATGACATAAACGATATTAGGACCATTAAACGCTATAGCTAATAGTCGTCAACCTACACTTCTCATAAAAAGACATGTACTCGTTATTACTGCTAATACTATAGGTACATGAACTAGATACAGAAACTTTTTTTGTTCTACGACGCTAGGTTCTAGCCCGGAATCGTTTTTCGCATTACTTCAGGCTAGACCTTGGGGTAGCGTTATTATCACTTTTAAAAATTGATAAAATCCATTGGTGATTTGGCAGGATTTGAACCCAGGACCTCTGAAACCGTACTCCCACACTCTAACCACTAGACCAGCTCGCTCCCCCAGATACAGAAACTAGTCTCATTTTCTATTAATGTTAACAACGTGATACGATCAACTCTGTTGTCAAACGGTACATAACATACAATAGAACATCTTATAGGCGTGCTATTGAAGTTACACTTTCTCTGTGCTTCAGTTTACAACAAATTGTTCTTTTGGTTTGGCACGGTTAACTTTTGATATGTGAAAAAAAACACTGTTGCAAAATTAACTAAAACTGGCTAAACTTAACCAAGGCAATAAAATATCTATTTCTCGATTATATCTATCATATTTGACTAAAATAAATCGCTTGAATTATGTATAAAAACAATTTAAGAAAACTTTTACGATTTTAAGCCTCTTTGAACTAAATGGAACCACATTCTTGACCCAATTTTACAACTCGCTATTCATCTCTTGCGAATTGAAATCATTACAATTTCTGACTCTCTCCACTACAACTGAATGCTATACATAGTTCACATAGAAGACTGTTTACAAGGCACCCATCAAATATTCAGTAAATCCTGGATTCAACCTAGGTAAGTGGTCTGTTAAGATTCCACAAATGTACTTTTAAGGCCTCTCACGACTCGAGTGAAGTTGAAATCTGACAAAACCATTAGCCGAAGATGCAAGTCACGGATATTTCTGTCTTATCATTTCAATAAAACCGGGCGTAATCGAGGCGAGAAAATCCCGTCAGAAGGATTTCATGAAGTCCGATATCGCCCTCGATATCAGTACCTGTTGACGTGACGCAGAAATGTGGGTTACAACGTTACAACCTATGTAATTACCTCAAGAGTGACAAGTCCGCTGAAGTGCAAAGAATGGTTTCTAAAAATTCAACATTTTATCCTTAACTGATTCAAGAATATAACGACAGCTATGATTTTAAGGTTATCTACCGGTATCACGTTTGAAGAAATTGAAAAGATGAGATTTTAATTTGACGTACACAAGCTATACACGTCTTATTTAATTCTCATAGTCCTTACTTTGGATGACAAATTCTTTCGATTGCCTTACAATAAAATTGTAAGGCAAAAGAGAACAATGTGTCAAGCTATGTTGTGTAGAAATTTCAAAATACGTGGGATAGTTGGAAATTTTTTTTTTTTCATTGTATTAGTTATTATATCGAGTTTGGACTATAATAAACGTAGTTTTACAAGTGCGTACCAAATTGAATCATCGGACAATATTTACTCGAGTTATCGAGCTAAATGGACGGAGATCAACTATTGTACTAGCATTGCCTTTGACAATTGCTACAGAATTATCTTACAGTAATACTGAATCCACTTACTGTATCTCTGATCCTATGACTTTCATTCCAGATAAATAAATCGATTAACAACCTAATATGTTAAGAATAAGACGATAACCTAACTCGGTGTGCACATATTTTCGCACGATGCATAAAATGATAAAGTGAAACAAGAATATTTATTTCAATGTCATTTATAGATTTCACAAACATTTAAACTCATTTTTTCTCCCTACCTACATCAATCACGTGAGGTCCCGCGGCCAAAGACGAACATAAGTAGCACGATCTCATCGTTGAATCAACTAATTTCCATGACCCAAAGTGGAAACGGAACGAAAATTGGCCGGAACAGCCGGACTGCGGACTGGTTCGGTAAAAGCAAACCTCCATAATAAGATGGCTCCCGATGTATTGGCTCGCCATTACGAGGATCGGTATATGCAAATCGTTTCCACAGTAATATCGTTCCGATGAAGATACGTATCCGTTCGATCGATGAAATGATGATATCTCCGTTGGATGTTTGGAAGGCAATGACGGGGGCGATAAACGCTGACGTCTCAACCTAGATAAATACGCTACTGTCAACACATTTATCGTATTTATTTCAAATATTGATAGAAACAATATTTAAACGCTGTGAGGAGTTGGACCCTGATTTGGAGATTGTGTAAATAAGCTAGCCTACCTACTTTATAGGAAGTTTTCCAATGGAGTACTTATCAAGTATATAACTTCGCGCTTGATTTTGGTTGAATTATTAACAAACGAAATATTATCGGATGGACATCTCCATTCCCCAATCGGTTTTACAATAGCAGTTGTTTGGGTTCTCCTGTTGTAACTTGTCCCAGGGTAAAAATAGAGCTTTGTGTGGTTGAAACAAGTGCGTAATCACAAATAAAGAGAATAAGAATTTTCAGGAAAATTAACCATAGATCGTAACCTAGTTATGGAATACTTAAATTGAAACTTTTGTTTGGTTTAAGGTACTCACCAGAAGCTGAATGATTAATTCGCCTTCTGAAACAGAAAAACAGTTTCGTTTAGAGAAAGAATGTGGAAAAAATTACACGATTTGAATGTCTAAAGGCTTACACAATATACCATAAGTGACGTAATTTGGGGTGATCTTCAGATGCATGTATACCGATCTTAAACTTAACTGTTGTGATAATTAATGAACTGTGGTTTGTATTTGAACAAATGATAGCCACAATTTTTTAGGGTTAATCAACAATAATCACTTTAAGTAACCTGTAGATAAGAATAGGCTTCAACTGACACACGAAGAATAATCACACACACACACACACACACACACACACACACACACACACCATCTACTAATCAGTTATCATTGGTTACCTGTTTCTCAAATGTGTCAATCCCAAATCACAGGGATAGTCATAAGTCATAACCAATCGCATACGAGTCACAAATAAGTAACATATAGATGCCTAGCTCTAAGTTTAAACTATCACATGAACAATCTCACACACCAGCTCACAGATCATAGGTTATGTCTGGAATTCGTCGATCACACACATTTCCACCTAATTCCAAATATCGGCCAAATCGCAGCGCTCAGCCAGCTTTCACCACCCCGGCCCCAACGTTGGGAAACACTGTCGTGATAATGGCTGGCGGCTTTCGAAAAACCCTCAATCACGTTCTGTGTCCATCAAACGAATCCTACAATCCCACAGTTGCGTTGGAGAACCCTCGGTGGACCTGGGAACTCCGCGGCCCTTGTAGAGGACGATCAAAACCTTACACAGGTGTTGTGAATCAAGATAACATCTCACAGCTGTAGAAGGCAAGTTTGTGTTCAGATTAATAACGTCTTAAATCCTTCGATCCTACCAAAATACTGCTAAGTCTACATCATCGTATGAAACTTCATATTTGTTTATACCAATTCACTAAGATCGCGACATACATTGAGTTTACAATAAATAAATAAATAAATAAATAAATAAATACAGAGTGTATGTAGAATTTAATGGACGATTTGCATAGCTATGTTACCTAGCTAGAGGAATGCCTGACGACAGCTAACTCTAGTTTCAAAACCTCCAAAATCTACTCACGTCCCTCCTGATCGTACTGACAATCTCCTAATTGTTAGGTGGGCGTTTACACCACTCTTTTAACCATTAATTAGACTTTATTTAGCCTACCATTATTGTTGATCTCGCATAAAAGTCTCTAATGTGGGAAAAGAACTAATTCTTCGCCACTTAAAACCACCCTACATTTAGAGATGTTTCAGTAAAATAAGAATACAAAATAATGCCTATAAACAAAACCGTTCATAAATACCCCCAAAAAAATTATATAGACAATGTGCTGGAAAAAGTGCAGGACAACAACTTATAGAACACAATAAACAATGGTAGCATTGACAAAACTAACGCGTGGTTTTATGGTGAAAAAAGAAGGCCCCTTTAACAACAAAGGGTGGTTTCCTTATTATTCCTCCATGTACAGTGTTTTCCACGACTACACGAGACTATTTCCACGCAACAGCTGATTGCATTTGCACCAACAGCTGTTGTTTGCCAGTGTGAATGTCCATCCAGCGGATACTCCCGAGGCCTTTCCGCCCCAATTGCGCCACCACGGCAATGTCCGACCCCAGGTAAACCACAATGGTCACACGAGTACACACATCGACCAACTTATAAACGGACCGAGGAAAACCGATCTGTCATCCAGTGAAATTTGTCGGTCGGGATTTGCTTTCACTGATTCCGGCCAATTATCTGATGCTCAGTTGTTATTATTGATGATAAATGGGGACAGGTTCTTCCAGATCTGGAAGGTAAATCATCGAAATCAACGTACAACTACAATTCGAGCATCTAGTCAATAAAACTAAGATTCTAAAAGCCGGTGGCCTTTAGCGAGGAGAGATAGAACCGTACTAGAAGTTACTAAGACAAGGCATTACAAATGATTGTACTTGGAATGATAGGCTATTCCAGAACCTGCCTTCCTCGCACCAACATCCTAAACAATGCAATTTGACACCCCTTTGTGTACTTTTACTTTGATCTTGTGTACATGAGGGAGTATTTCCAACGGCCCTAATTGTAATTTTTTTTAATACGGTACGTCTTGCTTATTTATATCGAGTAAAGAAAGTATACTATATCTTGTTTCTTGTTTATTCTAATTTTCTAACGATTTTAGACCGAAACCTGATCTTGTTACTCTATCGTCAACCTTTTGTTGGAGCTTCATTAATTAGTGATTCAATGACAATCGACAACTGGCATCTAGGATCAGAATGGATCCCACTCCCAATCTCTAAATCTAAATACCATCTTTATTCTGCTTAAGACAAATTCACAAACATACAACGAAAACCTGGGAATATCTTCTCAAAATCCCAGCGGTAACACACAATTAGTAGCATGATTTGCATTATCCTTCGACACACTCCCCAGGGCAGTAGTGACTGGTGAGGGGTGTCATAGATAACACGTGACCTTGCCTGGTGTTGACAGCTGATATCCGCCCTGACCTTGGCCACTCAGACATACCACCTGTAGGCCAAGGTCCAGCTGTTACTGTCCACCTAACAATCTCGATGATCAAGTGTTAATGCGATTTTGATTCCTCAGCGACCTTTGGTTTTTGGTCTTGTCAACTCTCTCCACCAAAGGTATGGCAATTGTCCGTAGTGTTGAAGGTTATGGTTGCTAATCAAGTTGAAAGTACTATCATGATAAAGAGTAAACCTTAGCTAGGTGAACGGGAACTGGAGCGACCATAGAGATGAATATTGGGTATAGTGTACCGTAGAGTAAATTCTTGTAGATTGTTATGAGGCTTATAACAATTCATCGTGGGGACATCTGGGAGATTAGTTCGCATTGATAAATACACATTTCAAAAGATCTGTCCAAATCCCAATCCCGAAAACCAGTAACTTAGTACAATAAGGAGACACTGAATGCCTACTGAGATGCAATGAAGACCTCCTCTACTAACTTGAACGGGGTTAAATTCTACCATACGATTCACTCATACGACCTTAACCTATCTTCTGGAGTAGGCTATTCTGCCCTATTTCTTTTTTCAAAAGATGGATAGCGATGGAATCTGTCATATGACCTAAAATGTACGGTATAGATTTTGTCTCGACGTAGCTAGTAATGAGGGTGACCAAGAGTTCTATAGTAATTTATATATCATTAGAAACTAGATTTTTACCTGAAAATAATGGTACAAAAATTTTCTGCTGGCTCAAAAACTGAATTTACTACGATTTTTTGAATTTTATTACATCAGTTCTTATTTAGACATGTGAGGTTGGTAGGTTGGGTGTTATGCGGATTCGTGACTGTATTAAGTGTTTTGAAGTTAGGTTAGATTAGGAAGGTAAAGTTTAGGTTATTATGAATCGAGTATAAGTTAATAACCTAACTTCACATGTCTTTTTCAACTTATAAAACAAATTTTAAACTGTCCAAGAAGTTTGGTTGGGTTAGGTAAGGTTGGAATAGTGTAAATTTGTTGTTTATCCATTTTATTATTCCTTCTTCAATTTTCATAATCCAGTCCCCTAATCCAGATTAAATATGTCCAACCTAGATGTGTTTATTATTGATAATTAATTTTAATCAAATAATAGCCTACATAAGTTATAGCCAACTTAAATTAACGTAATTATCTTTCTAAGTGTGGGTTGTGAGGGTAATATTTACATTAAAATGGCACAAGTTATAATCAATCAATAGGTTAATGTGAATTGTGCTATTCGATTTTACAGAGTAAACACTGTAATTGATTTTCAGTCAAAAAAGCCTGGAAGCAAGGGCTATAACCATAAAATTACCGACTGGATATTTTTGGTCATGGATAAAATATTAAACAATAATTTTTCAATTTTTCAACAATCTTGTTGTAGTATTTATTCTGTTATATAACTAGTGACATGAATATCTCTTGTAATGTCAGTCTTAAACTATTATTATTTTGCTTCTTTGTGTATATAATATTTTGTATTGAGTATTTATTCTATCGTTACAATTAGTATAATATGATGTCTCTTGTAATGTTAGTCTGTAACTATTTATTCTGCTTGTTCATGCATGTTTTATTTTGTAATGAGTCGGATCATTCTATAAGTTACAATCTGAAATCTTGTCTAGTCTTTTGTATGTATATTGTTCCATGTATAATTGCTATTCTTGTATTTATTTTTGCACACCATCTTGTTTTGATGTATTGTTTAATGCCATTTGCCGTAGGAATGAATAAAATAAAAATACAATAAAACAATAACCCTATGGGGATAATTATTTATAGTAAGTTACTTGGATTCAATTTCAACAAGATTCTCATCCTTTGTAGTTGACCCATCTCACCCATCTCGACTATTGAAAAACAACAGAATATACAGAATGCATAGGCCTACCTATCTAGTGTTTGCTGGCAGCAATTAAATCAACTTTCACTGGGCCTTTGAACATAAAAATGCAGAACACTTTTTAACATCACTTTAACTCGTTATAGGGAATGAAGATTAAGTTTCCCATTAAAATGTTGTGGGTTGTATATAAAAAACATTATATTATGGTACCTAACTATTTTTAGGTTAGGTATACCTCTATCGCGATGATCACCACTCCCTGTCGCGTGCGTGATGTATAATCAAGTAAATTACTACTTAATTATTCACAATTCATGTACACAGGACTAAAGTTGTATTAAGTAGCCCAATTCTTTGAATGCAAGCATATTATGCAGAACTAAATGTTTCATAGACCTGCTCAACCAACAACTGGTTGGATACCTAGCCTACAACTTAAGCCAAAACTAATTTCATATTCCGTACCTCAATTTGTTAATCCAACCTTCGCTGAGCTAAACACCACCACTGTAAACACTTTCAAACAAATTTGGAACTAAAGCACGAATATTCTTGCAACCTTAATCTTTTAGAATTCTTCAAGTAAACAACACTATTTGTTTACTAAATCGATCAGCTGACCTAACGCAAGTCAGACCTTCACGTTCACTTCACACTACGAAACTGAACTGAACTGAACAGCAACAGAACACTAGAACAGAGTGAACCGGTTCCGGTTGCGGCGGTAGCGAGGTTGGCTATACTGCGAGCGCTCACGCCATCAGTGTTACCACCTTCGGGGATTTTATCCCCGTGTGGGATTTTAAGCAGGCATGACTTAACATCTTAAATATAGATGAGATTGCATGTTCAAGGGCACTTGTATAACTTTTTTCGTTGCGTAAATACGCAACGTATAAAAAATAAATAGGCCTACGCTTTTAGGTTAACCAATCTGTAAGACAATCGGGGGGTTTTTACGTTCTGGGCTTGTATTTCAACATAAAGACTAGCATGGGTATATTATTTTCGCAAAAACTACGTAAATACAAACCAGAATCAGAGTAATTTTTAACTTTGTTGTTTAGCACTGACTAGCAGCACATGTTTGGTAGGTTACGACACTATCTAATCTGTGTTACATTCGTTAATTAATCACCTTGTTAGCTTTCCAGACAATAAAAAGGCAATAAAGTTAATAAAGCAAACTGTGAGAATTCCAACGTTTTGCAACATACGGTTGTGCAACCCTCTTATCCGGTGAGGAAAAGATGTTAAGAAATATTAACAATACCCATGCAACCAAGGTCGAGAATTGTTGATTATAGCAAACAATATTTGCACGGGAATTCAACCTTATTCCTAATATTTTTCTATCATATATAAATAGAAACTTCACAGTTGGTTTATAAAAAATATAAACCAAAAAGCCCGGTACGTACAACATCCACGCTTTCCAAACGTTTAGTGAGAATCCTCAAACAAAAAGAGCCTAGAGAAATTCCTAGGCTCAGGGTAATTTGAAATACCGTTTGGTTAAACTGCGCCCAAAGGTCAACATGATAGCCGTGCTGTTGACAGATGGCAGAGGTACGGGAATGGGCAACGCTGCCGTTATGCAAATACGCTCCAAAATGGGCAAAGATTGAGAGCAACTGGTTTACTCCGATGTCACTTTCCACTGAAAGATCACTTACTTTTACTCCAGCAAGTGAACAGGTGTGTGGTGGGATTATTGGATTGTAAGCGTCAGCTGTGAAATTTATTTGTTCACTTGATTTTCAATATAAGGGAAAATCTGCTACAGTGTTGACGGATTCATTTCTACACGCGTACATAAATACGTTTAGGTTACGCGGGATTTTTTAGTAATTAAGAAAATATGTAATTGAGTCTGGATACAGTGGTAATAATAAACAGATCCTTTTACAGAGTTTAGCTGAACATTTGCAATAACCTTTTTAGTTGATGTTTGAATGTTAACTTCAACTAGGAGACTCCCTACTTTAGAGACTACATTTTTTGATGGACCAGCAAATAGTTTTGTACCAAATTTACGTAGTCCAATTTCAAATAGATGCCAAAACCTTTTCTATGACGTATATCGATTATTTACAACATTTAAAGGAATTATTAGTTTTCATTTTCTTCTAAATCTACCCAAAGCTATCAAAATTGCATCCGAGAAGCACATAATGAAAACACGTTTTTATTTTTTTTACTGAAGGAAAGTGTTCTGTGCCAGAATTTATTAAGGAAACTATTAAACTTCTAATTAACTTCAAGTAACCAATAGGAGATTTAACGTCAAGCCGTGTGCTACCAGCTTTGTGCCTTTTAGCATGATTCACCAACAAGAACCCACTAACACGCCACTAAACAACAGCCATTACTATAATGACAGAATGACGTATATCATTAATTATAACACGCTGCGTGTCAGCTGGGAGGTGGTTGCATCAGCTGGCGTGTTGCGGAGAATTAACCACGTCCGTGTATTTTCATATCAAGACGCTGCGTCCATTTCCCCAGCATCCTGCATCCGTACTTCACCCACGCAATACACACGTTACATCGTTACGTAGCCTCGCACACTTCATTGCCTTGTGTCGAGGCTATAACTGGCTGTTCACAATTACCACTCATTAGGAGGTGTCTGCCGCTATAAGTCAAGGGACGTAAATTGCACGTTGATTTGACATTTGCCTCAGATGCACAATGTATACGTTCCGTTGGTTGCGCAGGTGAATAGTTACGTGCAAATACAAAGTTGTGCAGAATCTTTCCGAAAAATCCGGCTCGAAGGACCAAAATTGATAAAGTTTTCTATTTTGGGGCATTACTAATTAATGTTTTATTCATATAAGCATTGAATGTGTATCTAATTGATTCTATTCAGTTTGAAGCAATTAGGTTCTGAGAGTAGACATATTTTTTTGGAAAATTGAAATTTTTAGCTTATAGTAGTGCAAATCGTGTAGACGCACTAACCGGTCACTATACCGTTAAACTACAAAACGAAAAATTTGAAAATTAATCATGATTATAGACTATCTATTGCGACAAAATGTACGATTTATGTTGATTCTAAACACATAACTATTGTTAAGGAACTCAATTTATAGATGAGATTAAATGTATTAATTTACTTGTGTGTGTTAATTATTGATTTTTACTGTGTACGTTTATTGCTAGTATGTATATAACTTTGCTGACGTCATCAGGCGTAGGAAGGAAGCAGAACAGCAAATTTACCGAAGTACACTAATCCCCATCACACATATTTATAAATTGTTTCTATTTGTGTAAGTAAGGGATCGGGAAAATCAGTATATCTAATCATACAAGAAAAACAGTCCTTGCCCCTCTAACCTATTCTATTTATATTTTCAATATAGTTCATAAATGATATTTTTCATGTCCATTTCTGATACTGTGGTGTATCACAAAATACTAACACAAAATCCTAGCCTCTGTCAATAAATTCAGGTAACGGAATTGAGTGATTGGATGCTATCCAAAATGTCTAATGTAATTCAAAGTTCGGAGATACTGATACAGAAGTCTAACGGCAAGCGTAACGGGAATTTTACTGGTAGTTTACTTGACAAGATTTAAATATCAGGGTCCAAACGTCAATAGTGACAGTAATAGTCTTCCTGACAGCAGTTAAGACAAAAGAATAAATTAGTGAAGACGAGTCGGTCAGTAGAGGAACTGTAAATAAGTCCTGTCAGGTAGAGTGTTTTACATTCCGAATTCCAATACTGTATGTTAGAATGAAAACACTGATTCGTATTCTAAACGAAGTGTGACATTTTGTTTGGAATTTCATCTATTAGGCAAGCCATTTGGTGCAAACTAATCCAAGAATGTTTAAAAGGTCCATTTAGAAAAACCTTGCGCTCATTGCGTCACAAAAATTAACATACTTCGCAAAAGATGAGTGTCATGATGCAATGATGCAGAGTTTAGGTAATGATGCAATCATTAAAGGTACATCGTTAGTCAAATTGCCCACTTAGTCATCTTACGTGGCTGGCTAAATCTGGCCACACCGACTGCCAAAAAGGGTGTAATCAAAATATTATCATTAATAGAGAGGATAAAATTGAGCACTAAGTAGGTAAATATTTTCTAATACTTCCCCGATCGTTTTGACATGACAAGTCGATGCATGGATCTATAATTTATGCTAGTAATGTGAAAGTCCGGCACAAATTGATATTGCTAACTTAGATTTGATGCTGTACTTTGTCATGTAATATAAAATAAAAATAATAAGTCCTGAGGGAATTTAGAAAAAGATTGTTTATTAGAGTGGAATCATAGTTATAATCTTTTACCTCCCTGATTGCCTGATCATTTTTAAAGTTGATAAGTAGATACAAAATGTACATGGGAAATGTGAAAATCCTGCACGAATGACCAAAATTGCAAAAAGTCCTGTATTTGATCACCTAATGGAAACTAGAATGTACAAAAACACAAGCCTACAAAGAAACCCGGAAAACCAATAAAAAGGTGTACAAGGGTGGAATGATTATAAATGACATACAGCGGTCTAGTTAGCATCGCCTGATCGCGGCGTTCTCTGGCGGTGATTACGCAAAGGTCGAGGTCACAGATGAGATGAGAGATGCGATGGATAATGAGCTCAACTGCAGCTTCGTTAGCGGCGGCAGTTTATAACTTCTCACATCCAGGCGGGAATGAGGAAGAATGATATGGTACAAGAGTGCAGTGCCGTTGGAGCACGGATGGTTGATTTGATGGATAATTGAATAGCTCAGTGAGCATTGGATACGACTGTCTGCAATTTGGTTCTAATGCAGGCCTACTTCGAATCTGCCAAACTGTAATACGATTATAGAGAGTAGTGGTTTTGGAATCTTTAGTGGGGAAAATTGACAAAATTGTTCATGGGTCTGATTACTCTGTTTTACTGGATGGAGAGTATAAGGAAACTAGATGCTAGACCTAGAGTTCACAAAACTGTAAAATGGTGTGTATGTTTATTACAGCCCCATCCTTCACCTCCAAGACAGAAACTAGCACAAGTTTCACCTTCGGTTTCAAACCAAGTGACAGATCCATCGCCGATCACCTATTGGGAGATTTCACCAAGAATTCGTCGCTTTTCCACACTCCACTTTTCCAATTCGTCAGACCGTTCCGCTCACTAACAGTGATTATAGAATCTTCTCACTTTCAAGAGTCGTTCAAGATGTCGTTGTCAGTCCAACGCAAGACCTGTGACGGAGTAGTGATAGACGCTTGACTCTTTCTTGTCCAAGGTGCCCAGTCGAGCAGTTTTTACGCGGGTTCTAGCGTTGTAGCTCTAGCCAATAATCAATTAGCAGCTAGAAAGCAGGACTGGACGAAAGTGTTTGGCGACACGCGAGTTAGAGGAAATCGCGGTAAAATAGGAAATTGAAGCGATATCAGGTCATTCGGGGAATCGTATTTGGTCGATTAGATACAGGACTGTATGTATCCTTGATTGAACAGATTCTACCTCAAAGTACTTGAAGTATCAAAGGTGAAAGCAAACTATGACCTCATAAACATAACTGCTGACCTATATATTTTCAAGCAAAAAATCATAAAGTGTAAATACTCCCTCCTATACGTGTCTAACAAATTACAATTGTTTATTATGTGACAAGAGGA